TATGCCATTCTCGAATTTCTAAACAATAATACAAAACAAGTACATATGGGCGTGATCAACTTGGCTGATACTCCAAGATATGGAATAGGAAATGATATTATTTCAGGAAGGAGTATATAATGAATTTTATACCAAATGAAAGCTCGTCAAAAATGGCATTTAGTAGTATTAAATAGGAAGGCTTTCGTAAACTTTGTAACATTGCACTTAAGAAATTTTGAGAAATTTTAAACATTAAAAAATGTTAAAAAACTCACATTTTCTATATAAAAAAAAACACTAAATTTTCCCATGAAATTCGCTTTTTCATTATTTCTACCACCTCACATGTTTCGAAATATATTCAATATGATGCAGCGTGGAAAACTGATCGAATAAGTGTATTTCAAAACATATGAGGTAGAGGTGAGAAAGTTATTGTTATTTTTTCGTTATTAATAACAATAACATTAACGGTTTTTTTCGAAATAATCAATGAAATAAGTCTAAGTATAGTTTGTACGAACGTCAAAAGATTACTTTATTCATATAGTATCTTTTCCTACCATTTGATATGAGAACTTACCGTAAGTATTATGAGAAATGCTAACATAACGTAATTTGTTATTGTTATTGCTATATAACAATAACAATAACAATAACAAACTATGTTGTGTTACTGTTTCTCAAAATCTTTACGACAAGTTCTTATATCAAATGGTAGGAAAAGATACTGTATGAATAAAGTGATCCTTTGACGTTCGTATGAACTATGCTTAGATTTTTGTCATTGATTTTCTTTTTGAATCAAAAGGCTAATGTTATTGTTATTAATAACAAAAAAAATAACAATAACTTTCTCACCCCTAATGTGAGGTGGTAGAAATGATGAAAAAAGCGAATTTCATGGGAAAATTTAGTGTTTGTTTTATATAGAAAATGTGAGTTTTTTAACATTTTTTACTGTTTAAAATTTCTCAAAATTTCTTAAGTTCGATATTATAAAGTTTACAAAAGCCTTCCTATTTAGTACCAATAAATACCATTTTTGACGAGCTTTCGTTTGGTATAAAACTCATTATATACTCCTTCCTGAAATAATATCATTTCCTATTCCATATCTTGGGGTATCAGCCAAGTTGGTTACGCCCATATTTGGATTTGATCAAATATTATTTAGAATATATTTACCGCTTTCAGTAAATTTGGTAGCTTCTTTGAACTCAACTATATCTACAAAGAATGAAATCATTAGAAAAGTATTATGTAATAGACTTGTTGCAAAAAGAAAACAAACGTTGTTCGGTAAGTTCAGTTGATATTGTTTGTTTAGGTTGTTTGTTACCCATGACTGTTGATAAATATCAATGAATAATAGACGAGATGTTTATTGAAAACCTTGAATATTTTATACTATGAAACTCGTGAAATTGCACCAATTAAATTTTGTTTATCATCACATATAGGACGATATTTATAAAAGCGTGTAGAAAAGAGAGAACGAAAGAAAATGCATGTGTAATGGATGTCTACGAACAAAAATATATGCAAGCAAAACAAATATAGGAAAAGATAACCACGGTGATAAATGAGTCAATTACATATTTTACTAGTTTCAAGGTATTCATTAAAATTGATCTTTTCTCTGATGAGTCCTACAAACACATGTATTTTTTTTTTCGGAGTATATTTATAATACTATCAACAATTGATGAGGTCTTCTATTTTTCAAATGTATGAAAAATTGTAGAAAGAAAAAAAATCAATCATGAATATAAACCAATTCGTAATTGTTCTTCTATGCATCAAACGTTAATTGACAGGTTTTTTTATCATCAAGTTTTTTTTGTTTTTTACAGAAAAATCATATAGAGAAAAAAACACGATAAATGCATGAAAAGGAACAGGCGAACGAAACACTAAAGCATCAATGAAAAATAAAATTTATTAATACAATATTATGTATTTTGAATAAATAAGATTTACAATGGCAAAATAAGAAGTTCTTATGAAATTATCAAAGAATCATTAGATTTCTTGACTTTTGATGAAAATAATGTATGACCATCATCAGATGAATCGTTTGTCATAGCATAATTATGTCTTAGAGTTTTTCTTTCATTTTGCAGTTTTAGTATTGACAAATTATTTTCATTTTGAACTGATGATTCATATCTTTGAAAACCAGTATGAGTACATGATTTTGATTCTTGATAAAATTTTAGATATATCACAACAAAAGCAAATACAATAGCTAAAGCTAAAATTAAACAGAAAAAGATAAAAGTTTAAGATTATTAATAAATACAAATCACATGTGCCAGGAATAATAAGTAAGAGTTTTTAACCAAGTACAAACTTTTTGTTTTGATGATATAATGTTCGAACATTTGTTGATGTCAGATTAACAAATGTTGAAAATGTTCCTTTTGTATATCATTATTATTATTCAAGATGTCTTTAAAGTTTCAATTTCAATTCAATATATATATATGTTGACTAGAATCCTTAACTAAAGGCAGATATATTATGTAAGTTTTAGCCAATCAGAGTTATAAACATTTTATTACGTACTACACCAGAAGTCATTGTAGTCCGAAATTTGCTAGCACAAAACAATTTCATAGACTCGAGCAAGAAGAAATATTGACATGCGTATTGAAAATAGGCGATATTTCTCGAATTTGAGCAATGCAAAAGCATATGACTTGTTATGAAATCAAGCTATAGAACTTTTTGAAATACGACTGTACTCAAGTCAGTCCTTCGATGAATCATGCAATGGTTACAGCAATGTGTACATACTGTAAAATTAGAGTGGACTCGTTTTTTATTGATTAATATATGATTTAATAGAATTTGAAAAGTTAATCACAAATATGTACTTTTTAGGTGACAACATACTTTTGATCAACAATTTTTTCAATTTGTAATTTTTCAATAATCTCTTATTAGGATGCTTCTACAAGATACACGCAACACTCCATCTAAATTCAGTACTGTTTTCAGCGATCAAACAAATTCATGTATGATCAAAGCAATTCATGATTTAGAGTAAAAGCGACTGTGGATGAAGGTGTTGATACGGGTACAGTTACGAGACTGGATCTGAACGCGATTCCAAGTGTGAATTCTGAGGCAAGTGCATATTCGGATAGGACGATCACATGTCCACACCATTTGTCGGGCAATAAATCATATGAGAATAATGTTTGAAAAATTCGGTGATCAAAAATATTATCAACCTACATGTTTATTTAAATTAGATTACTCAATCATTGCAAAAAGGTTCAAATACTGATAAGAGAATAATAGATACAAGCAAAATCTTGTTTTTTGCGTATTCAACATCAAAAACTGAGTAGCAAAATATTATTTACTTAAATTTAAAATGAATAACTCATTAAGCACACCGAATATGTCTTTATCTTAGCAGTAGAAAAGTAAAAACAATGGCCTGATTTACTGTAGTTTCCTTTAACCAAATTCAGTTGAAAAACAAAATAAACAGCATATTCACAATCGGTATGAAAATATATAGTAACCAATACAAACTTTGACAAAATCATTTGGACACAGAAAATACACTTGTAATACATTCTCTGCATTTGTATTCTAAAACTCTGAGAGTGGTCGATTGTCTATTTAGTACAAAATTTACTGAATCTTCTGTAGGCCAGTGTAGATTTCCACGCTGATTGAAGATAAGTTGTTTATTTAATTGTTTGATTGAGTTCTCATAATAAAGGCTACAACATATAACGGCATTTTAGGTCGTTCTTGTCATTAAAAGCAGCAGTGTTCGGACTTCCGAAAAAGGAAATTTCAGAAGTTTCGGAGATTTCAAGTATTTGTGTTCGAAATTGCACGTTACTTCCTAAAATAATGTAATTTCCGAAATTTCTGAAATTTCCGCAATGACGTACTTACAGAAATTTCTAAAATTGCTGAAATTTCCTATATGGCTAGAAACTTTTGATTTGCACTGCTATATAGTAATCGAGCTGCTGGAAATTTCAGAAATATGGGTAATTTCCTTTTTTGGAAATCTGAATATACCTCATTAAAATGAGAAAATGTCCAATTTTATCAATAAAAAAATAAATCTGAAAAAACTATATATTAATTTTTGTTGCTTGAAACTGTCTCATTCAGATGAGAAAACACATTCGATATTCTGTTACATAAACACTAGATGAGGTTACAAATATACCTATCAACAAATGTTATGAGCCTATTTCTTGAAAAAAAACATGAGTACAACTTTTACATGGGTTGTACTGTTATTATTCTTTCCCGAAAGCATAAGATAGTGATAAATAGACAGTATTGACTAAGTTTTGAAAGAAAAGATATTAAATACTAACATTTTGAGATTGGTTATTTTAGACATCGATCAACTGATTCTATCAAGACAAAAAGTCAGTCGTTTTCGTTTTATCAATTGTCTTGTATAGTCGATTGTCTCATGATTGCTCTCTTCAACACATAGATATAAAAGCATATAGTACTCCAATGATAATTACTTAACAATACATTTCCTCTAATTAATTTTTGCGTTGCAATATTTTTTTTGTCAAGATAATCTATTGCGTAGATGATTTTCTATATGAATAGAAACAACATTATCGAATGGGTTTCTTTTTTTCTTTTGGATTATTTCCTGGAGTTTATTTTTTATCAAAAAATCTATTTATATGCGATCTATTTGAATTAGAATTGAAAGCACGAAATAAATTGCAACAAAACTGTATAGTTCTGTTTTGAACAATGAAAATTTTTCATGAAACATTGTTATTACATAAATTTTTTATTGCTTAAATATTAGGAGCAAGTAATCGACGAATAATCTCACTATTTTTACAACTAGAAAAAAATCACAAATAACAGATCATTTATTGATATTGTACAAACATACGCTGCAATAAATTCTGCCTTGTCTAATTTATTGTCACCATTCACATCAAGGTGTTCCATAATGCCTTCAGCAAGTGTTTTTGGATCGCAATCAATTTTTTCAACACGTTCACCAATAAGATCAAACTAAAAATAACAAATATTATTTCTTTGAAAATGATAATAAAACTTATAGGTGACCATAGCTGAGATTAATGCAGTCAGATCTTTTTGATCTAATAGTCCATTATGTGAAATATCATACCTGCATGTTAACGAAATAAATAAAAAAATAAATTAAACAACTAGAATGAACTTACATATCAAAAACAAAGCCAAGACGAGCATCTATAGAACCTTGACTTGTAGCTGCCATGGCTAAGAGAAACTCTTGAAAATCAATTGTACCATCATTATTAGTATCAAATAGATTGAATGCATATCTAGATATTAAGAAAAAGCATCATATATTTACACTTTCAATGATTATTTCCAATGAATTCGTACTTGCAATAATTATCTACTTTTCCATTTGGATAAAACTGCTGATAAACTTGAACAAACTGTTTTCTATCGAGTCGACCTGTGGGGCAATCATGAATGAAACCCTGAAAAAAAAGAGAAATCATTGCATATAATTATAAAAAACGAAAATAGAGTTTTATTAAACAAACGTCATGCCATTCTCGAATTTCTAAACAATAATACAAAACAAGTACATATTTAGATTGATCAAATATTATTCAGAATATGTTTACCGCTTTCAGTATATTGGGTAGCTGCCTTGAGCATAGCTATTTCTAAAAAAAATGCAATCATTGGAAAAAAAATGATGTGTTGAGTTTGTTGCAAAAATAAAACGAACGTTTTTCTGTAAGCTCAGTTGATGTTGTTGTGTTAAGTTGATTGTTACCCATGACTGTTGATGATTATGAATAAATAGTAAACAAAATGTTTTTATCGAAAACTTTGTGTATTTTATGTTGTGCAAATTGTAAATGTATGCTAATTAAATTTTCTCCATCATCAGTTATATAATAACTCTAATGGGGCGTGGAGAAAAGAGAAAAGGTATGATGTTACCTTTAATGCGCATGCATAGAAACAGAAATGTATGCAAGCAAATAATTATAGAAAGAGATAACTATGCTGATAGATCAGTACATTGTATATTTTATTGGTCTTGAGAGACTAGTTCTCATTTGCGAACATCAATTAAATAAAGATAAAATAAAATTGTTTTAAGTTTTCAGTCGATCTGACACTATCACAAATAATAAATGGTGTTAAAGGTAATATAAGTCTTGAAAGAAATGATTTTCATCGGTTATACGCAAGATAAGCTTCATAAAGGAGTATTACATATTTCGATTTAGATATTAATTAGCTGATATATAATCAAAGTCAAAGTAAAGTTTCAAAAATGTATTATCGTAGTTCATAGTAGTATAACTGAATATTTATTGCTAGTGTAAGGTGAGTGAATCGTGATGTTTGTGCATGAAGAGAAGACGCTCACCAACATCGATATTTCAAAGCCGTCGCGTTTTCAACATCATTTTTGTATTTTTGATTTTTTTTATATATACATACTCTTGTACCTTGGCTAGTTTGTATCCATTTGATGTTTGATTCTATGTTACAATGATCATTAGATTGTGTATTCAAGTGCAAGAAAAAAGTCATGAAATTCATAGTAACAATCACGTCTAGTGAACTCCAGAGATTGCAGATAATTAAAAGTAAACCTGAAACTACAAGTTTTACTAAAATTGTTATCAGCAAATTTTTATTAATTTACACAATGAAAATTTGAAAGTTAAGATTCTTTTCTATTTGAATATTTGTAACTAAAAAAATAATTGAAACTAAATGAAACAGATTTTGAATATTGATTCTATATTCACAAACAAAAAGAGATGAGTTTTATTATGAACATGTTAGTGAGAAGGCATCAGATACTGTCTGACTTGCTAGGAGAGAAGTTCCACCATCTTTAGTTCGACGAAGTCTCTTTGCTATAAAAACATTGTTTTCAAGATCATTGAGCCTGTTCTTATCCATCGTGTAGTACAAGTATAATATTTCGATC